CCAATAATTAAAACAGATTGCTGAAATATTTCATGCAAAAAATAAAGGTGAACCACTTAAAGATCTTGGCTTTTTGAAATCTGGCCCTCTGCTGAATCCAAAAGCAGTGATTCTCTTATCCAACAATGCATTTTAGGATAGCGTAAAGAACTATGGGAAATGTCCTGCGTAAGTACAAAGTATTGAATAATTATTAGTTACTGCTCTGAATGCTACGGCCAAGTTTTTAAGATCCCCTTTATCTTTTGGGTTCAAAAAATCTTCCCTCATTACTGGTCTGAGTGCCCTTTTAAGGTAAAAATTTAACTCTAAATAAATACTGCCAGTTTGAAACCTAAAATTTCCACAACATTTGGGCATACTAAATACAAGGATTATGTTTATTTACTTGTCCCAATGCGCTGCCTGATTTCACCTAACTGAAAACGACCATTTTATAACTATTTTTAGTAATGCAGTTTATTCCTGTTTCACTCGTTCACCCTGGTAGTTAACATCACCACTAATTGGAGTTCTCGGTGGGTAGCGCAAAGCAGCTTTATAAAGTCACTGAAATAAGTGAACCAGTGGATAACAGAATGAAGATCTCACGAGTGCTTTGAATAATTAACTTTGGCAGTCCTTGTGCATTGTTGAAACTTCGACCAACTCGGGTTACTTACCGGCCGACCGCAACTGCCTGCCTGTCCGCTCGTTTGTTCGTGCCCTCACCCGCTTTGCAAGCAGGAGCCACAGGGAGGGAGGGAAGGAGGGGGGAGCGTGACAAGATAATTGTCCTCTTTGGTGGTGGTGGTGGTCGTTCTGGTGGGGAGGTGGGGGGATGGGTTGGCTCACGGCAAGACAATCATCCGTTAGCAGAATGTGGAGGTGGAGGAGAAGTGCGTTCTTCTACCTTCCTGAATTTATGGTACAGTTCGACCGTAAGAACAAGAAGAATTGTGAGGAGGAGGAGGCAGCAATCAAAGGTCTACATCCAGAACTGGTCAAAAAACCCTCTCACATATACCCAAATACAGGCACAAGTACCACCATGCTATCAGCCTGTGCGGCGCTGCGATTTTCAGAACGTGGCAACACAGGATGTAATTAGCTAAAGGGAGATGTAAAGGAGCCTCCCTGCTATTCAGTGTAATATTTACATAAGATCCCCATGCAATATTATACATTGTACAGAAATGTGGATTAAAAGTCATCCTTGCAAGCAAAGCTGGCGTCAGGAACACACAGATGAACATAAATGAGGTGGATTTTGGGGAATATTTCAAATGTGAAGGAGGTATCGCATGTTCATATATTTGATCTCTTCATTAGGAATTTTTCCAGATAATTCGTGGTCAATACCACTTAATTTGCTAATAGCTTTCCTGCAAACCACTGCACTGGGGTAGTTGCCGAAGGTGGACGTCATTTTCGGTCCTTCTTTTAGGGATCATCAAAATTCTCCCAGTCGCAACTTATGCACTTTATCCACCCCATTAAGGTTTATTACCCAGCAGTAGAAATCGGGGTATATGGCCTTTAGGATCGGATTCACTTCCCACTGCTACCAACACAGCGTTCCGTTACTTCTCCATAGAGGAAAGAAGACAATACTAGGACAGAATTTGTATTGGCAACCTACTGAAGGGTTTGGGGGATAGCGGCATCGCATGGAGGCCAGGCCATTCGGCAAGGGTTTAAAGGCGGAGTCTCTATTTTTAGTTTAGGTCTCGGTATGGCAACGGGCCACTTAAAGTATTGCGATATATTTGAACGACTCACTTCTGTGCCTATTCACCGCATCATGATTGCGGTTTAGGGCAAAAAAGGAGGTAACACAGAGTGGAGCTAACAATCCCACATCCAAACAGTCATAACCCCTAGCCTGAACTCAGGCAAAGGACAGAATAATTTTTGAGTTTTAACCGCACATGCCAGTTGGCTAATGTGTAAAGTCTATTTAAAAGAAGTATGATTATATAGCTTAACACACATCAAGAGAGGGTGACAATGCAATAAAATAATGCCAAATTGCAAAATATTTATTCAAAGTATAATTTTTTGCCGGTAATAAAGTTTATTATACGCTTTAGATTGAGTAGTTTGTAGTCTGTCATTGCGTACCCAAACTGCGAGAAGAAATATGGTACAGACGTTTTAATAGCAGGAATTGGGATTGCGTCCTCACCTAGGACACTCATAGCAATAGGCGGACGAGGAATGGTAGTACAACAGGGCTTGCAATATCTGCCTCCTGCCAAAATTACACAACGCACATAGCACTGCTGAAGGTCGGTGTTCGGCTTATTCGGTGGATGCGCAACGCATTACTTGTTGCATTTGAGAGGAATCATGCAGATATGCTGTTTGACTTTGCCTTAAGAGACCACCCAGGAAAATCCTAACACCAAATTAAGAATAAAAGGGATGCCTCACGCAATTACTTCCAAACACATGAGGATATATGTGCCGGGAAAAAAATATCAGGTAGAATCAGTTTCACGTTTATTGAAAGTTTCGACTTAACAACAACTGTAACAAGATAAACTCTTGTAGTAATTTGCTAGTTTGTTTAACTCGGCGTTCAATTACGCGGTTACTTGAGATTGGACCTCCTCTCTGTGTCAGTAGTCTATCAAATCGTCTGTGCGTTAGCAAGATATGCTCTTACATAGTACTTTGGCTTGTTGCGACTTCAGGGAAGACTTGGAGTGCTACAATCTATACTGAAAATAAGGTATCGTCAATCAGCATGACCAAAAAATGAAATATACGAAACATCGCCATATATTTAGAGTAGAATAATGACATCCTTAGGACGAAAGAAGGCACAATACTAGGAAAGAATATGTATCCTCGACCTTGAGAAGGGCTTGGTGCCTACGGGCATGGTCTGGCGATCAGGCCATCTAGTGGGTGCACAATGGCGGAGCTATAAGTGGCCCATTCCCAAAATCGAGAGCTGAAGCAAGCAATCAAAGTACTACATCTTACATATTTGAAGTTCAGTCCAAATACCGGATCTGTAAGGCTGACACACTAAACATTCCTGAAGGCTCCAGAACTCGTATTTAGTTTAGGGGATAATAAAGTTGAAAGGCTGTCCCTGGAACCGCTCAATACTACTTACGATTTCACCACAGCCCTTATTTAACGCCTGCTGGATCTCCCATACTCCTGGAAACTCACCTCTTGTCCACATGCAGTAAGAAAAATGGGCTCGAGCCATTCGTACAAAACGGCATTTGGATTTGCTGCACGCAAATGTTGGCACCTTGCCATTGATAAAGTTGACCTATAGAGGGCACGAGCGAGGATGGGGCTAATGAGAGGTGGCCAATTCTATTTCTTGTCCATTATTCTATGAAAGCCGAAACGGCGACAACTAAAATATGGTATTGGGTCTTGTTACGACACTGTCGATTGAATTAGTGCATTAAAAGCAGGTATTTTTATAGGTTTCCTGCTAAGCACTAAGAAATTGAATAACTTAAGGCATTAATGCACTTTCACATGAAAGCGCAACAAGACGCCATTTTCAGCCATAATTTGGCTGAACAAACTTTCCCGTATCAGCAAATAGCCTACTATTTCCTTCCTTCATAACTTTCTAAGGGAGAGCTTAGGCACTACAAAGAAATTTTCGAAACTGAAGCTAGTGAAACCGGTACTAAGAGACATACCAATGAAGTCAGACATATCTCATGAGTTCTAAACCCTTTTCAAGAAATACCTACCTAAATGATTTGTGACGTCATACTATTATGCTGCAGTATTCACAAATTCAAGCCCTTTTGTTGCCTTTGTAAACGTATTGCAATTTAGCTGATGTATGTATTTATGACTAATGCTTTTTGCGTGAATCGGTTAATGAATAAAAATACACATGAAGTCGAAGATAAAGGTAACTTGATTTTTTGTCTAAATGTGTTTAAAACCAGCCGGGCCCCTAGTGCCCATAGATTGTGCTTCTCCCTACTGCCTGGCGTTCAGACTAGACTGTAGCGTCCCGAGACTTTCCTGAAGATGAAAGAAGACACTATACTCGGGCAGAATGTATTATCAGCACAGAGAAGGTGTTTGGGCCGCTGGCATGGCCCGAAGGCCAGCCCACCCAGCGAGGTACATGAAAGCAAATTCAAAAGTTTAAAAGTGGTATGTAATACGATAGTGGTTTATCCCTCGGCATTAATGAGGCGCCACTTTTTGTACTTTGAATTAGCCCCCTTGTACTTCGCTGGGTTGGCTGGCCTTTTGGGCCATGCCAATAGCCCAGATACCTTCTCTGTGCTGAATATATATTCTGCCCGAGTATTGCGTCTTCTTTCGTCTTCAGGGAGTCTCGGGACGCTACATGTGCCTCACCAATACCGAGGGATAAACCACCATCATATTACAATACTATGTTACTAGTACTCGACCCCTCCTGTGCGTCAGAAATATATGTGCTGTCATAATGAATGGCTTATTATGAAATCGAGGAAGTCTCGGAGTGCTACAATGATAACGATAGTTTCACCAAAGGTAACTTAAACTCGCTACTACTTTCTAATTTAGGAAAAAAACATGTACACTTACGGGGCCGGAGTCAGCGTATAATACACGCTTTCAAGATACAGGCAAACACCCGAAGTGAATTTCTTGTCTGTTGGAATGGTTCACTGCAGAGGATTAGAATGACTCCGTAGCACTTTTAAACAATGTTCCATGGGTTCCTTAGAATCCTCTGACAAGGTGAACATAGTTTACAACAGCATGCATTTTTAGTGGTTCCAACTATGATGTAGGCGCTAAATACTGCAATGAAATAGTCCATTAGATGTAGGATGGAATTAATATGTAGAACACAAAGTAAAAAAAATTATGAAGAGCCGTGGCCAGTGCAGCACTGGGGTTTATTTTTATTTATTTTTTTATTTTATTTTAAAATTATCTATGGTTATCTGTGGTGCAAAGATTATTGGTGGTAACTGAAGCGCATGTGTAATCGTCTCATTTTTAGCCTATACTGCGATTGAGACATGTTGCCGGGAGATGGGGATGCTAAGGTTTACCCATTTTGCAATGACAGGATTATATAGGTGGCTGAGCAGCAACAGGCTCAAAAAGAAGAAATTGAAAGACGTAATAAAGAAATGAAAAACGATTTCCTCAGTCGAATCCTTGATCAGCAAGCAAGAGCGCGTCGTACGTTTATTTACTCGTGTATATTTTGCAGTCAATACTCTTGCTATGACCAAACCAGACAAGGCACAGGCTGTTGAAAATATGCTGGTAAATATGGCACGAACCCGTGGCATCGGTGGTCAGGTATTTTATGTTTTACTGTATGCTACCTTTGCCTTTTATATTCTGAAATGCGACTTCTTTTCTACTCTTCTAATACTGAAATTTTGGGAATTTTAATGCTTGAACTTGCTCATGAACTATCTCTGACTGAACACTTTACGTTAAGCTTCGCCCGTAATATTACGAGATGAAGTCTTTCATATATTCCCGTATTTTCCCACTTCATCATTGTCTTTATGACCTTTGGGATGTTTGTTCTCTGTGTATGGAATTTTGCAAAACAGTTGTCGTTGAGTGATTACTGCAATGAGAAAAGAGGTTATTTGTTCTATTAAAGGTAGGGTAAAAGCACTGTTCATCTGCCGAAAGGATATGCAAGTACATTATAAGCTTGTTTGTTCCCTGAGCTCTCAAAAATACTGACGCGATGAATCAAACCATTGAAGCAAATAGGACAGCGTAGTACACCATTTGGCAAAAGTTATTTGGCGGTGTGTCAACAGCTTGAAATCGGGGCGTGTTGCCGACTCTTTGAAGTCCTTCTCAACGTGTTTTAACCTTTTTTGCTCCACATAGTGTTTCGTAAGAGGTACGGCTTTCTTTTCTATTCGGAACCGCATTCCTCTTATTTGCATCGGAGTCTAACAAATACTGAGAACGGAGTTTAGTTGCATATCTAATAATGAGTTTTATAGATAAAAGTCCATTGGCGTGCAGATTCCGACGTCAATCATTGACAGGAATCTACTTCTTGTTAGATTACGGACGAACAGTTGAGGAACATGCTGAACGATATCGCATCCCACACTAAGAAGCCAACCGAAGTCAAGGTACGTTGGTCAAAGCACTTGTCCTACTCTCTCTTCTATAGTTCGATCGACGAAGAGCCGCCATTGATTCAGACGACGATTTTTAGCAGAGCACTCAAAATTTTCATCCCCTGTTATCACTTGGTGCCGCACAATTAGACTAAAATGGAACTCTGACTGTTCATTTACTTCCTTTTATAGTTCGGTCTTGGGTGCTCATTGATCCTACAAGATCCCACGTTCCGCTCTCCTCCTACGGGAGCAACGGCAGATTGTTTAGCCTTTCTTGCCTTACTTTCTTCATAAGGCTTAATAAATACCCAACCAGCCTACCGCTATTGTTCCGTGCGGCGTTTTTTGCCCTTTTCGTTGACACGTAAAACCGGGAGTTGTGGCTAGTCTGCCCTAGATTCAACGAAACCTGACTGGTTGCAGAAGTGGATTGGTCGCTAAAGAAATTAAATCTCAAATGAAAAGTCAGTAGTTGATAGCTAAATATACAAGATGTAAGCGGACAAAGGAGAGAATGGCCTGGACCAAACCGATGGAAAGACGCGAAAGACAGAAGGGATGTTCCTTCACTTAACAAAGATGTCATCGTAATTGGAGATGAGGAGCTGCACGAAGGAGTTGATTTTGCCCACTTCTGTGGAGGAAGAGATGGTGGCGTAGCGTGACCATAGTAAGTTTGGTCCGAACACGATGCCTAGGTTTACGTCGGTCATGTGGTTTTGAGTGGAGTGGGCACACACCTGCCAAGAGGGGGGGGAAGAGAATACGTCTTGCTTTACGTTGTTGGTTTTTGTGTAGTTTCACCCTTGATGCATGTTTAGCACAAGACTACTCCATCATTAGATCATTCTCTGGCAAATTCTTCTTTTCATGCGCTTAGAGATCAGCTCATTAACGTGCACCACCAACCACCGTACATGGGAGTATCGTGGGAAGTAACCATCACGTAGATGATGGACTCATCCCTGAGCGACCCCGAGAATCTTAATCCACCTTCTTTAGCTTAAGTGGGCTCGCTTACCTCCGTAAGAAGGGACATGAGGTACTTGAGTACGGCGTAGTTGACATCGGGCAGGCGAGTCGAGATCAGCTCACGCGCTTTCTCCAATCTTGTCTCCCATGGCAAACCTACAATCGGGAAACACTACTGTTCACTTGTCAGTAGATTACCACTATGGAGTGGTTCCAGGAACCATCGTGATGACCTAATTATCCACTTTCCGGTTGTATTGTTGCAAGAATAATGCTAAGTAAATGAGCTCGAGCTTATACCAGGACATCACTAGTTGTCATTCATACTGTGACGTCTAAATAGGGCTTAGCAATAAGCTACAAATTGGAAGCATTAGCTCAAACCCAAGATCACTGGCTACATACTGGTTGCATTCATTAAAAAAAGCCTGAGGATTGAGATAAACACTAGGCTGAAGTAACGTTGAACAAATTGGGACTGGACGCTATTCACCTCGACTCCTGGTAATGATATGCCTGAACAAGGTAAGTGACGTACTGTGTAGACTCAAAATCATGTCATAAAGTTCGTAGGTGAGTAGTGGTTCGGTCAGATCGCGAAGGAAAGTTTTGATGAGGGACGCTGGTAGATGGGGGTCAGCAAAAACCTCGAATTTCACGGATCTACCTGTAAGATGATGATTCGTGATAATTTTCTTATCAAGCTGGTGAGTCTCTTCACCGTGCCCTTCAAAATACCTGAGTTGTACATCCCTTGAACAGACTTCACCAGCGTTGCGCTTGGACATCGTCGAAAAATGCAGTCCACATCCAGGCCTGAGCGAGGCGAGCAGAATAATTAACGACGACACGGTAAAAGCTGCTTAACATTCCCAAGGTAGAAAGTGTACTTACAGTCTCGACGAATGTACTCCACCGATTCCCTGAGGAGAGTCGGAATGGGGTCATTGTTGTTATGCTTCATGATGCTTAAGACAGGAAGAGAGCATTAGGTTTAAGTGACGGAAGGAGGCATTGTAACAGAGAGGATATGTGACTTACAAATCAAGAGACACTCCAAAGACCTGGTGGGGTCTGGGCGGGTGCTTGGCGGAAGATTGGAGGCTGTTTAGCGGTTGCACTACCAGCTGACCACCAGTCTGAAGGGTCCGGGAGCTTCTCAATCGAACCAGACTGGCATCATATCTGTAAGGAGAAAGGAAGGATTTCAAAATCCCAGAGGTCATTTGACAACGTATAAAAGCAAAGTAACATCGCTGGCTATGAAACTCTGTTGGGGGTATGGGCCACAGAGTTTAAATTGTACAAAATTAAATGGATTTAGGCAGCTAGAATTTTAATCGATGGAGCTCTTTTGGAAGGCAATTATCGGCAAAGGGGCAAATACCATTTTCATTTTATGTAAGTTAACATTATCCACAGCTGCCATAGTGACAATACAAACGCCGAAGAATAGAATTGAGACGCATACATAATTTCAATGTGTTTTGCTCATTTCCACTAAAACGGATTTAAGGAATTACCTCATTTGCATAGTCCTTTAATAAAACAGACTTAAGGGGATAAATTATGAAAATCACTCTTATTTCCATTTCTAGATGCTGTAGTAAGGTCAAGTAATTGAAAAAGAAGTTGAGCGCACCAGAAAGTACGCATACATTATTTAAATCACCGGAAAAACAAGACACCTTTTAAGGAAAAGATGCAGCTTAGTAGCAGAGTGTGAGCATGGTAAAACGATATCAAAAAATTAGGAAACGCTGATCCAACCGATGACTTGACGTGGTTTAACTTACAGTCGAACTCGTTGAGGAATTGGAATCTGATCCAGATGCATATCAACCGACAGTTCATTCAGTTGATTGACAAAGTTAATTTTTCGACCAAATTTCCGACTAGACAAAAATAAACAAAGTAAAGAACTACTAAAAATCAGTTAGCTAGTAATGCAAATTCTCGGGCAAGACTACTTATTTATTTAAAATGACTAAGTTTCTGTGAATGCAGTAAGGGACTACCTTTGATAAATGGGTCATTCACTGAGAGCCGAAAGTGGGGCAGAACTGACCTGATGATGGGTTTAAATACCTTGATCATGAAGAGGATAAAATTTGTGGGGTGGACGATGTAGAGAGCTTTGAGGTTCTTCTTGAAGTTGCGATCAAAACCCCGGTAGGCTTGCATCATCCACTTCATTGGTGGTTTTGTGGCGTTCGTCAGGCCGTAGTGGAAGTACACCAAGGAGTAGTCGTTCGCCACGTACTGCTCCAGTGTCCTTCTGATGTAACTGTTGCGAAAAATGGCCTCCATTAATATATCTGCCTAATATACGAACAGTGTCGTAAAGATTCAGTACTAGGAAGTATCCCTGGGTTTCGGAGCAAACTCGCCATGAGTATATCAGCCTGTTAGTCAGTTACCTGGAAATTAAAATTTCAGTCGAGGAAATAGAAAATGGACAAGAAAACCAAACGATAGTTGTTTTTGCCCTCCACGAAAACACCTCCTCTTAGATTGGAACAAGCACTTAAATAGGCGTTGTTAGCAATCTTAAATGACAGCGCTACTCTTGCCTGAAGGTGTGAATCGTGGCAGCTTGATTCCAATTACAATAGTGGAGGGAAATACGCGGAAAATAACAAAAGGCTCACAGAAAAGTAGACTTAAAAGTCTTCCTGAAGGTGAAAACAGTGTTTGCTAATTCGTACTACAGTGGAAGATGTTTATTTTGGAGATAGAGCAATAAATTCTCATTAAGAACCCCAAAGTATGGGTTCTGTTGAACAGTTTGGGAAGACTTTGGAGGGAAGTGATAAATTAGTTAGTTATCCTAGTAATAGCGCGTTACACTAAGTAAATGCCAAAGCTCTAAATTTGCCAGTGGGAGGTAGCACGAAAAAGCGCATAAAGTTGATCACGTGTTCTGAAGTATTGCACATCGCTTTCATAAACTATGACATGATTCCCGTCTTATCGTATCTGAGGAGAGAAAACAACTACTTGCTGATCAAATATCCCCTCTGTTTGATCGACTAACAAAATGCCGAAGTGTTAAATAACCAATTCATAGCGAAACCATTAGATGGGAAGTGCTTTGATGCAATGCAAAACTGACATTAATTGAAGCTGGTATTAATCAAACAGTAAATGGGAACATTATAGGCGAGTCAAATTTAGTAACATGGAAAAGGTAAACTTACTCATAGAGTCGTTGATAGTCAACCTCGTCATAGGGCGGTAGACGACAGGCAGAGAAGACGACGACCTTCCGACCCAGACGGTCATCGCCAGCAACCTGGATGACACCCAGGAGCGCGATATCCCTATACTCCACGTCCAACGCCTCCTGAGCTGTTACTTCCTTCACAAAACAAACGCACAACACCATAACTTAACACACACGTCTTACAATGCAAACTCAAGGTATCTAGCAAATGCATATAGAACGGATTGACAGCTAGAAAGCAATCCTAGTGGGCAAATGTCATTGTTAATATCGTCTAAAGCGACCAAAAAGGATGCAGAATGGAAATGCAGCAGTAAGGATGCACCAACCATGATGAGTTTATGTATGTGCCACTTCTGAATGCATATGTACCCGATGGAGGCATTATATGTGTGCAAATGTGATTGATCGTAGCGAAAAGGACATGAATATATGCAATCAGGGCGATTGACAGACATGAGCCCATCACCTACGCGCACTCTCGTGGAATACACTACATTTGATACGCAGAGGCCCTAAATCACAGTGAGGTCGAATGCGGTGAAATGTTTGTGCTAATTCAAACATCAAAAAGTGGGAAGCAAATTTCTTTGCTTGTGTGTAACTCGGGACCTGAACTCAAGCATGCAAACGCCAAGAGCAAGTACCCCCCCGTAAGCTGATTAGATAACAACAAAAATGCCGCAAAATGAAGAAATGTGTAAAAGTTCCTTTGACGCCATTCCAATTCGATCCAACTGTAAGATAAATAAGAGAAGCACTAGCAAATGGACCAATATAAGACGAAACCCGAGTATGTTTACACAACGAAATGAAAAGGCAGCTCATGGCGAACGCCCAAATCCAACGAAGACAGATCACACCCAAATTCAACGAAGCCGGAAGAATTTTAAAAGGGCATAAGGTTATAATCATCACTAGAGTTCAACTAACCTGCGCTGCCGGACAACCCAATTCGGCCTCAAAATCCTCCTCAACATACTGCTCTGGGGAAATCCTGCCCACAGCATCGGAATCATCACCCTCATCTGGCACTGATGGAGAGGAGGCAAAAAGAAATCTCTGAATACATACCCATTTAAATGAGTCGCAAATGCTCTAGAGCACAAGCCTAGGCAAGTTCGCCAAAAGTGCAGTCTAGCACGAACTCGAAATGAACAGAATACGAAATCCACAGCTGCATCAGAAGTTTCACATGCGCAATACAATGCCTGTGTCTTAAATCCAATTCCTTAAAAGGCACTTGACACCAAGAGTAGCGCAAAATTTTGGCACCGGGTGGCCACTGCGACCTCTGAGTGGGCAGTCACAAGCTGTTCAGCGAGCTTGGACAATTTCCATCCGTTCAGGCAAATACACATACGTTCACGCAGGTAGCGCAAAACAGGGTAGAGATTTTTGTATTCAAACCACGAAGCAGCAAGTAGGTAACACGCATCAAAGCGGAGGGGCAGTCGCAGCACCGATGAGGTTGGCATGGCGAGGAGTGGAGAGAGGAAACATTTAGTCCACTCACTAATAAAACCTAACTACAAGTTCACGTGCAGAGAGGTGTGAATACCAAACACCCAGTGCTTTCAAATAAAACACCCGAGTTGGTTGATAATTCATAAAGAACATACCGTCACGGGTGTGGCACCAACTGCGAAAGTCACTTTAGCAACATCATTAAGTCACAAACCTGGTGTTCATTCTCATAACATGTAAAGAGCAAACGCACAAGAAATCTAACGATTAAACGAGAAGATAATAAAGCAAAGATGGTAATGCGAGTTTTTAAATACCCTTCGCAGTGCATTCATCATGCCGAGTAATGCATTTCCACTCATCAGCAATTGGCACGAAAAATTACTACATTTCCCACAAAAACAGAACGGTAAAGCAGGAAAATATGTAGCAGGACTATCGTCGCAAAATCAAGGGCAATGTGAAAGCAAATATGTTATTCAAATTAATTTCGATATAATTATTAGTTACATAAGGATGACAACAACATCGTTTTGTAAGCTTAGCTCCTAATTGAAAAGTTCACACTACTTCTGATCACAATAGTGTCACAGAGATAGGTCAAAGTGGCTCACAAACCTTAAATATTAGCTGACATGAGATCACATTTGTGCACGGGGAATTTCACCAGCCTCCTCAATTAACTTGGCATATTTGAATGAGTTCAGTGAGAGGCATCACCGCACGGAACAAAAGTGGGCAAAACAGGTAGATGCATCAACGGCTGCATGTGCTAGTGATTCAAATGAGTGGAAAGCATTACTCTAATACTAATTACAACCTCAAAACGAAAGGAGCCAAAAAGTGAAATGGAAGAGGCCAGCAAACTAATGCATATCGACAATAAAACTCACTGAGGTCCGATTAAATGGCGGCTTAAATGAATTCACTGAAGGGATTAGAAAGCATGCAAAACGACGATGCAAGGTAAAGTAGCAAGGAAAGCGGTTACTATTGTAAATGCGATGATGCGTGAATGATGCGAAAAAGCACAAATCGGGTGTTAATTTTCCATACCTTCGTTGTCTTTGAAACCTACAACAATTTGTCTTGTTAATTGACACCTATCTTAAGTTAGCTAATGTTCTTGAAAAATATGTTACGAAAAAGTGCATAAAATGACCGATTATATTGAGATAAACAGGTTGTAGAGATTGCACACTAGCGATGATCCAGTAAGGTTCATATCACGCTTTTGCGTTGGATAAGGTATACAACAACGGATATATTGGCGAGATCAAAAGAGATGGTCAAATTTCAAAATCTGTGTACTTATAGTTTTCGACCAATCAAAACAAGCCGTCAGTGTCACGTTGATTGACAGCTTGTGGAGAAATGAAAACCACGTTTCCCTTAGGTAAATATGCAGTGAACGGAAAGCGGCATACTTGACACCACCTGATCGATTTGCTTGGTGGCACAAGTCCTTGAGAAGCGCAAATAAGTCTAAAGTTAAGCAGTGCTTCTTGATTAAACCCTGCCCCAATCGGTAATCTAATGACGAACTTGTACAGATGCATGACATTGTGATAACACACTACATTTTAAAAGTACCCATGCGAGTGCGAGCCAATTCATTTAGTAGATGTTTAATTTCAAGAGTCTACAATCTTAGATGGAGACCCCGAAAAAAAAGCGTGGGGATTTGAGTGGGCCTAATGGTTACATCGCATTCAAGTTTGAGGCAAGGTGAAGAGGTCTACCTCTCGTTGCTGCGAGTTCAGTCTCAAATTGGTCGAACTCGAAATCGGGACTGATGAAATCCCCGATACCGGACTCGTCGACGCTGTTTATTCGCGAGTTCTGATCCACGTCCTCGAAGTGAGGCAGGCTGGTGAAACTTTTGCGAGGCTCACTCGCCATTATGCCGCTCTGATACTGCCTTCCAGGTGAGCTAAAGAAGTATCATCACGGTTTAAAGGTCATAAGTATGAAGTACAATTAACTTCAAAGACTTGTGTAACTACCACAGAAGTTCTTTAAATATAATTGGTCTAGCTTCAATTCATCTACCCAATCAGTGGCTGTGAAATAGTAGCAATGTTCAAGCCAAAAACTACAAACAAAAGGAGTAAAATTGAGTAATTGATTTAATTGTGCAAAATTCCAACTGGTTTTAACTTCACAAGTTAACAGCTATCTTACCACCTCTAAAGTTACCACAACAAGATCGAGATGATATTAAACGAAACTCCTGGTACAATGTCTGATAGAACAAAGTTGAGTATTAGCATGAACCCTTTCAAGGATGACTAATACTATTTACTTGGATTCTAACAAAGCACAGACAACAGGCTACTACCTCTTAAAAGCACAAAGCTCGTCAAAGAAGAGCCTGACACTGTTTTCAGAAATGGGTAAAATAAAATCAGTACTAGCATATAAAAAGCTTAGAGTAAGGGATTCGACGCATAAAATTACCGTACTGATCTGCAAGTCAAGGTGTGCTTGTGAAATCCAGATTTGTTAGCAGTAAGATAATGTAAGAATCACTAAACATATGAACACCTTTGATTAAAAAATAATCCAAAAATGAAGGTGGAAGACAGTACGTTTTTTGGAATGGATACAGAGGCTACGCTGAGAAATAGATCCGACCACACTCTCTCAGAAACTCAACTGAAAAAGCATTTCAAAATCAATTCTAGGCAATCGCGATGAATGAGTAAAAGCATGCGCATGTAAGGTCTGCATATTTTGGTGCACTCTTAATGGGTCATTCATTTAAGCACTGTTTGTTCATAAGGAGAATCATACCAAAGACACCAATTTGCGATTAAAATCCTAACTGAACAATTCGACGGAAACTAATAAAGATTGATAAAAACGTGAAATTTAGGAGACACAGCTGTGAAAAGCAACCCATGAACGTCAAAAAAGAATATGTGGGAAAGCTAAAATGGCATTATAGGATGAAGATGATAGTGGTACGACGCATCAATGCAGAGAATTGCTAGTTGGTAAACGACATGGCACTGTAAGAAGAGAGAGGAAATTTGTTGAATAAAATCACTGCCTTAAAACTAACCGACGCCAAAACTCAGCAGTTTAGCAATAAAGTACCAAGATTTAGCGTTGTCACGTCCCAATTAAATAATTTTCGCAAAAACTACAAGCCAAGTAGACTCATAGCTGCAGGTACTTTCGACCACATGAAGCATAAAAATATCAAATGAGGCAATTAGAACCTGCTGCATGTTTGAAATCCGAGGCACAAAACAAACTCGACTAAGCAGGATGTTTACTTAAACTATGGTTACGAGTAAGGGATCACAAAAAGCATTTTAATATATAAAATAGGCCGTCCATCACAAGCACTAAACAAAACTAAACCACATTTCGAATGTATCGAATAGGTAGACAATAGCATAGACATAATCTGTAAACGAGTAACAGCTTAAATGTGCTAGCTATTAACTAAATTCCGAGCGAATGGCAGATGTCGTGCGCTAAGTCGGACGTAAGACACCTCGCTACGAATTCGCAACTATTTGATTTGAGGCGATAAATGGTGCTCAAGAGAGCTGAGAAGCCTACCTCTCAGGCTAATAGTCTACTAGCAACAAATACTGATATGTAAAGGCGGTCCAAGCTTGCACAGGCGACCCAACACGGCTGATTTTCCAGCAGGCCCGCTCAAGGTCATTGTTGATTAATTAAAATATTAGGAGTGGCAGTATTCACAGCACTTAATTACATCTATAAGATTTGATTTTCAACCGTTCAATATTCTCCCGCTACATATTTGGTTTATATTAAAACCCGAATTTACGCAACTCGTTACCTGAACAAATAAAACAATGTATTGGAAATTTCATTTGAAACGATGCGTTCCTGTAGACACTGCTTTTGTCCGAAAGCAGTTGGCTCAGTTTATTTGGAAGCACTTACTATAAGACAACTTAGTGTTGTTTATTTCTTGCAACAAGTAATGTGCCATTCCAAGGTCGCAGCGTCCCAAGCCTTCTACAAAGTTGCAATAGTCCAGGATTAGTATGCTAAAAGATAACATTATTAACATATAGAAGAGTTCGGGTGCCACTAATATGGTCCAATGGTTGTTACAGAGTGAAAGTACAATTCATAAAGACCCAATCATTCTCGCAGCTAAACACACGGCTAAACAAAAAAAATCACTGTATGACCTCCTCTTCTTTTGGCTGGCGTCCCTTGCGCCATCCTCGGTCAACCTCCTACATCGGTCATCACAAAGCAACCACAAAACAGTAACTCTGGTCACTTAATTTTCTTGCGTACGAGAAGGTACTTGATCCCAACGCCACTGGTGCACTCACCAATTCCGCTTTGCCTGGAGTTCCGTCCTATTTGTAACCTGCATTGAGTATGAGAATGTACACTAGCTTCATACTGCTTAAGAATGGTTCATGGTCTATAAAGCGAGCAACTTGTAAGTCATTCACCTGAAGTAGAGAAATTGGCCTAAATGCAGAGCCGTCTAATGAAAACAATGTTAAAAGTGTTTTAACTGGGCTAATGTTCCACATCTATTCATTCTTACCAATTTTTTCTCATTTTAGCACTGCCCACCCATCCATCCGGGTTTTATTCAGGTAGTGGAGACATGGAGGAGGAATTGCCTGTTCGCGTGATTAACGCCTGAAATAGGTACAGTAGGCAGCTTCATGATGACCTTTTCCAAATGGTTTGGGTATTAAGCACTCTTACAGAGAACGGATTTTGGATTGTTGTCAAAGGTAGACAGCTCTTTGAATCCTGCTTTTGAGAGCCTTCACAGGATTCACTCACCCGCTTCAAATGCTTGCCTTTGGTGAATTTAAGCGTCTGCATTCGACAGTAGAAATCAAGATATTAATCTTTTTGGGCCAGGCTTGCTTGCCGACCCCACCGATGTAGCTTTTCAAGTCTTTGCATAAGTCGTAATAAGCCAGAGTAGCTTGGAAGAACATACATACATACTAAAGCGCAGAAGTATAATCTGCAGACTTAAATACCCGGATGGTTGGAAGAATATAAAATTATCACCAAATGTTAACTTATTTTCCTATTAATTTCCAGCCCTGAATAACCATATTTTATAGGAACTTCTTAGGAATGAAAGGAATTTGGCTTACTTTTTTCCATACTCTCGCTAACAAATTCGCCATCTTCTTGCAAATTTAAAAATGCGTCAACCATATGGTAGGAAGGTCAAAGACCTTTAAATGTATTTGTGATGGAATTTCTGCCAGATCAGACGAGATAGGCAAATCATTTTTTTGAGTATATACCTCATTTGCCTCCAATTTTGGATTATGTCTTAGCGTCTTTCCCTCTCCATCATTACTTTTGCATTATTGCAACAGCTTTTATTTACAGGTCTTTAGCTTTTGTACAATGTCCCGTTTAAGCGTAGTTTGATTCGACAGCCCTTCCAAGCCATCTCTTCGGTTAAGCGGTCTTTTAAAATATTAATTGTAGTGCATTAAAACTTGCCACATCACCGCGCCAATCCCCTTTCTTATAGCTCCTAGATAAAAAGTGGATGTCGTGAAGAACAAATTCTTGTGCTTCTGGCACTCAAAAGCTGCTTTTGCATCATTCAATCGAGGTTAAGCCACTTAATTTATCTACACTGGCTATTCTTCTTTATGCGACGCCCAGAAGGCAGCAGTCCCTGTGGCACAATTAAATCATCCATCAAACCACTCCGGTTGCGACTTTTATTGTCTTAGCATTGGAGAAAATGAATTCGAGTGTCTACATCAATGTCCATTTATTCCCCAGATTTGGCTCAAACATGGTGTCCCCGAAGCTCTATTGATGCACGCCATCCATTTGTTTTGCATGTATAACCACATCCACTTTTTATGTTCCTCCGATACCCCCATTATCTGATCAAAACATACATTTGTTTATGGTTTGTGACGATACCACTGCCATTTCTCACCATTGGGTGAAAAATTTAGTAAGGATTAGGCATGGGTAGCAGAAGAGCAGAATAGCTTATTCAATTACCATGTAGTGTGGAGTCGATCAACTCCCAACTAACAAAGTTATCCTCAATGAGATAAACTGCATGCCCAGTGCAAAACAGGCTCCATGAGCAGCAATTTTTCACTTTGAGGGATGGGAATAGGATTTAACATTAGGTAATTTCTTATCTAAAGGTTCCAGGATGGATTTATGCTATAACAGAAAGTCATTTTGGTACCAAAAAAATTTGGCGTTAAGCATATCATTTTGCTGGTGCTAAAAATTTTCTATTAGGTTGTTATTTAGCTCCTCAAGACTTTCCTGAAGACGAAGAGGACATTATATGCTGGCAAAATAAATATGTATCTGGCATAGGGTAGGGCTCGGGCCAATGGGAGAGCCCCAATGCCAGACGGCCCGGCACGGAGGTACAATGGTGAGGCCCCTTAGTGGCCTGTTACCAAACCGAAGGGTTAAACAAACGATTAACAAATTGCAGCACTGTCATTGAATACCATTCGGGAAAGACTTGAATATCGGATTGTAATACTAGGTTTTACGTTCGCAGAGGCTGCACCTACTGTTTGTACTACGAACGTACAATTCCGTAAAAGCTGAAATCTTTAACAGAAACCTAACTTTTTTCCTTAGCTAGGAGAACCCCGCACCTCCTCAGAGTTGAGCCGAAATGCAATGGCCATCCTAAGGTCGCCGTGCCACACCGCCTAAGGCGTAGCATTCTCATGCGTACATTCAATCGCTTGTAATAAAGTGGAAGGTGTTGGTACCAGTGAAGTTTTTTCCTTAGAAATAATCAACAAGTGTAGGAAAACGAACTGAAAATCACCATCGACATCCTTTTAATCCCCTATGAGGATTGCCTCAGGCACCGAATTAATGGATTCGCCATTCTATTTACAGTGGATTAATATAATCTCCCCAAATGCCTGATAGCAATAAAATGATGACTAGAAAAATTTTCTTCCTTCTAGCAGAAGTGATATGGATACTCATGTGAGAGCTCCTGGAATAAAAAATAACTTCATTCTCTTAACTGAGAAATATAAATAAATCCAGAAGTCACCTCCAATCGTAGTCTATTTATAGCTTCCAGGAGAATTTACTGATGGGTTCATTAATTTTTGAACAAAGTGTTTTGAAGAAATACATAGACCTTATGTAATTCCACGTACCTCGCCCATGAACACTGTAGTCATGCGACCTCGGACTTATATAATGTGAGAGAAAGAAGTACATTAGCTTGGTCGAATTTCGGCCTCGAAAGGACTGGACTAAATTCCTTCAAGGCGAGATGTTTTTCTGCACCAGATGGGGATTTGGAAAGGCGGTTGTGTTTTTGTAAGGGAATAAATGGGAAAGTTATTCGCCAAATGCCTTAAGCAGTCTCATGGGGCTCAGCAATTGGCGCGCTGTCTTTTTGGGCGTTATCAATGGTACTACGAAGTGGTCAATTCTGCCCACATGAATAATCCATTTCATTTGGCCCAAGATAGGCTCTTTGATGGTCACCTGAGTTGGAAATCTATTCACCTTGCTTGTATTCACAGAACCTTTTTTATAAAACGAGAGGTCTTTGATGGCATTGTGGCCTGTTAGAATGCCGCAAATGCATTGATCTTGGTCGCCTAGACTTCACAAGTATGTTTCTTTGTTTAATCGAATGCAGATATTTCAGAGATATCATAAAAAGATTTGTAAAAATCAAGAGAAGTTCAGTAAAAAGGGAAAGCCCAAATTATGTTTGGAACCAACTTGGCTTCGAGCCTAATCCGACTATTGAGGTTCTCAATGTACAGGACTTCCGAACGCATAATAAGAGGATTATTTTTATTCGTTTATCCCGTCAACTAACAAAGCCTATAAAGAGTTTAGCTACAAGACTAGACAAACCATGGCAAAGCCCGATGCTTTCGGAAGTGGAAGAGCATTAGTGAACAGAATTGACACATTCTCAAATGTGCACACAAAAGAAACGGGAAAACTTATCGCCCTCCTTAAAGTGGTATATTTTCCATAAGAAGGCACCGTAACTGCTGTCAAAAGTGTCCAAAAATGTTTTCGCTTCAAATAAATAAGAAAAGGAGGAGGTTTATTATCCTGGTAACTACGCACTGAACTCCGGACATCCGATGCAATCGGAGAGTTCATGGTAATCCTAATGAAAATGTGCAATTTATTTCTTAGCGTTCTTTGCTCACAGGGGAAGCAATATATCATGCCCCGTGGGGGATTTAACCCGACAGTGGTTGTGTCACCAAAAGACGTAAAAGACGGACTGTTACGCTGCACTCGCCTGGATTCCGTGACAGTCACGAGAACAGTTGGATTTGGCGGGACTCCATCAATTGGAAAAAAAATCCTAGACCTTTGCGGTGTTACTTCTTTTCTCAGGCATATGTGTACTCTAATCTAGCATTTATGTACATTGTGAAGGTTGATTTAAATTAATGACGGCATGTCTTAGAAACCCAAACCAGGGCACAACCAACCGGAGCGAACCCACGTAGTTGCATAGTTTGGAGATTTTAAAAGGGAGCAAAGGTGGTGGTCACTGAGGACTTCCAAATTAAAATTATTAATTAAAGTGCTGTTTAAATATGATCTTTGTTTAAACTATCCTTAAAAAGTCTTCGACCCTCGTATGACAGAGTTGGGTTCTCTGATTCCAAGCGATTGTAGTCTGACAGCGATTTATTGTTCGATACAAAACAACCCGTAAATCATCAGCAAAATTAATTTATGGCTTAAGATTTGTAATAAATAATCCCCTTGAGTGCAGGACAGGTTTTTATGGAGTGGAATAAATCAGGTTCAATTCTAATCTTGAATTTTAGGCAGCAAAATAGCTAGGAGAAATATGCTTTGTACATGAAACGTCATGGAAGATGTCGTCACAGTTGATGGGATCATCAAAATGTAGACGGTAGTCGTAGGCCAAATTTGGTGCAGTGTCTTTTTCTCCACAAGGCATAATAATTAAGCTGGACTGTAACTAGGATAAGGAATGTTCTCCTAGCACCTGACATCAAGCAGCAAGTACTTTAAAACTCGATGCTGGTCTCTTTAGGTCTATTGTGAAATAGGAGTATAACGTTTCTTCAACTACTTCCAAAATCTTGATGAGCAGCAGCCCCACGTGCCCTCTAATCCTTGACGCGCAATTTCGGACCACTTATCCCGCTTCTCGGCAAATTGAAATTTCTCCAATCCACTTTATTCTCCTTCACTCTCCCCTTTCCTCATCGCCGTCCCCATGATTATGGCATTGGTTAAGATCGGCCTTATGTTAATGTTCAACGCTTTTACGGCATGAGAGAATGAGCAAAATAAAAGATAAATGCCTTCTCAAATCTACCCTTGAGTTTCATCACACTCAACGGGGCTAAGATGGATAGCATTATGCCAAACAACTGCGTCTGACAGCTGCGAATGGTCATGCCAAGCGGCAATAATTTTACCGAATCATAAAATTCTTCAAGATAAAAATTCGCAATTTTTTGTTTAGGCTATTGTGTCAGCCTAATAAGACAGAAAGTAGGAATCTGGTATTTTTTAAAATTTTCAACAAGGGAACCCAGCTTACTTTGCTCGAAGCTAAACACAAAACCTGATGGGGGTAGAAATTCAGCACTTTGATCTCTAAAGTAGTCCCTGTGCTCCTGTATGGCATCCTAATAGCATAGCCCTGAGTATCACGTAACATTAATAAAAATTGAGAAAAACCCTTGAAAGTTGCCACGTACATTACTGTAATACGATAGTGGTTTACCCCTCGGTATTGGTGAGGCGCCACTTTTGTACTTTTGAATTTGCCTTCTTGTGCCTCGCTGGGCGGGCTGGCCTTCGGGCCATGCCAGTAGCCCAGACACATTCTCTGTGTTGAACATATATATATTCTGCCCGAGTATTGTGTCTTCTTTCGTCTTTAGGGAAGTTTCGGGACGCTACATTACATTATCCCTTATCATTTATGTATTTTTACAATGATATGTAACAGGTACAGCGAGGCAATAACGTGGGACTCTTGTATGAGTTGAATAGATTACCACTGTAAGTTAGTAGTATTAGGATATTTTGATGATACCGATCAATTCCCCACCGAACCTGACTTAAATCAAGGAAGAGAGAAATGTTTTGATAAAGATATTTTATGAATTGAATGTACCATTTTTAGAAAATTGTCATACACCCATTGCTGAGCCAATATGAAGTTAGCAAAGCTAGAAGAAGACCCAGTGAGGTAAATTTGGTTGAAGAATCAGTTATTTGCAATAAGTGATTTCCTTTCTTTCCAGTGCATGCTTTAGGGGAACATAATACCGCTATAGCGCTTCTTGACCTTTAGATGAGCTGAGACTGCTGGCACGCCCCAAAGACCACTCCTTCCAGCTGAAGTACAATTGCCTAGCCTTAAGTGGCCTTAAAACCAAAACGAGGCGTTAAACAAATCATCAAAGTATCGCATAACCCCCCTTTTCTTTTTGAGTGCCGTCCCCAGTGCTCCCTTTGGTCAACCTCCCGCGTCAGTCATCGAATTTGCCTGCATTTGAGGTGGGAATTGGTTGAAACACCACTGACGCATCTTGGCTGGAGTTTCGGCCTGCTTGCAGTGGGCTGACCACCCCGGATATCATTGCCAGTCGTAGGAACACTGGCTTAAAAGCACAGTCGTTTAATAAAGAATGGCGTTTGAAGTAGTTTCCAAGGTATAGGGTTTTGCGTTCATTCCACCATGCCACGTTGTTTTTACTTCAGTGCTACCCATCCATATCTATCTGGGTTCTATCCAGCTGGTGGAGGGCGAAGGAGGTGTCGCGTGTTTACTTGATTGTTATCTTCCAACAGGTACCATATACAGCTCCGTAACGAACTATTCCAGGTAGTTCAAGACTAATGTCATTCCTTTCGGTTGTTAACAGCATTCCCGCGGGACAAGAAGCTGAGGTAGTCGCTAAAGGAAGACGTCATTTTCAATCCTTCCGTTAGGGCTGGTTAGAACTTCTTCCATTCGTAGCATGTGCCCTTCTTCCATCACGCCATGGTTTGATATTCATGAATGGAAATCAGGGCAGTCATCCTTTCGCATCGAGTTCGTTTACGTTGCCACCAATTTAGCGTCTTGCGACTTCCCCGAAGAGCTGACGCTACTGGCATGGCTTAGAGATCATACCATTGAGTGGAAGCCCGATCTGCAAGGATTTGTGTATTCGCGAAACCAAAGTTAAGAGTCAAACAAGCAGTCAGAGGTGTACACTGCTTCCTTCATACATCCACGCAGCTATTCCAGTTGTGACGGATGTGTATACATGGCATGGATTCAATTTCAAGCAAGGCAGAAGTTTCCCAAAGCAATGTTATAAAGTGCTATTTTCATGCTTTGCTGAATAACTGATGGAGTTCACTTGGTCTAGGCTTGTGCTGAGTACGGAACAGAACATTTCCCAGTTTTATAATTACGTAAATACTTTAGTAAAAAGTCTCGGAGGGAAATAAAGCATGATAATTTAACAAAACATTTGTTTATGCATTCTTCTTGTCATTAGTTTAGGAGAGTTTCAAATTTAAAAAAACTTGGCGTATATATTTGCCTTTGGTAAATGCTGATTGTTGAGTAGTTGATTTAGCTTGCTTTGGCCTTTGTGAGAACGTGAACAGCCTTGTGGAGTTCAAGTTCGTTAGTTTTGCCCGCAGAAGGATAAATAGAAACAAATAAATCATCCTCCAGCGCAGGAAAACTTGCGCCGCCGATGGGTACAGCATGCACCCAGCTTTCATACTTGAAGCGAAATTGGAGTTTAAGAAACTTCAATTACGTGCATCATTCTCAGTGCAAAGTGTTAAGCTATTTATAATCTCAAAAATAATCCTAGCAAGGACATTCCCTTCGACACTGTGTTTTCTGCTCAAAGTACGGTCTTTTGGATAAACCTCTATATCCTTTGAGAATACATATATATGTAGCGCCAAGAGTCTTCCCAAAAGAGGAACGAAGACATAATAGTCGGGCTGAATATGTATTGAAGATGTACAGAAGGAATAGGAGCGGCTACTGGCATGGCCCGGAGGCCGTGCTACCCAGCAGAGTTATAATGGCGGGACCCTAAGTGCCGAGATTTTAAAACAAAGTATCACAAAAGATAAAAACCACGTGATGCAATGAAAACATGCTCTTTTTTCCCAAAAAAGCTCAAAAATGTATCCAGATTCATTATGCAAATGATAGAGCGAGGTGGCCACACTGGGTAAGGGGTTGGTGAGTCAACATCGTCCATTTTTTGGGAAGGAGCGTGTCAAGACGCGGAGGCAATAGTTGTCACGACTGTGTGTGTGTGTGTGTGTGCACGCAAAGACCACCCCTTTGCTACCCGAGTGCGCTGATGATACACAATACATCTGCTAGCAATTGTTGAAATTAATAATCTGTTTTATGGTACTTTACGCGCATCAAAAAGCGAACGGGAATTTTAGGCCTTTCTTCTCCTTATACATGATCTGAAAGTCGTGCCTCTAAAGTTCCTTTTGAGTAGGAAGTTAATTTTGGACTTTTAGCAGCCGCTAATATAAGCTAGAGATCATTGTGTAAATTTGCTAAGGGAAGAAAAAGGAAAAGCTGACAGCAATGAAAACGATGTGTTAGGTGACCAAAAATTATCAGGAATATGTTGAAGTGGTATAAAGAGGTCAGTAGACACAAATTCTGTTTCGCGACACAAATGTTGAAAAAAAATTAGACATTCCTGTTGCAGACATTTCTTACAGCCGTAAGGTGTAAATTTTGTGAAATTTAAAGTCCTACCTGTCGCTATACTCGAAGATAATGTTGGCAACTGCTAAAGCATGGTACAGTTACAATGAGGGCTTAAGTTACCATTCATAAAACACTGTCTCGTAGTAGAATAATCAAAAATTCAAATTCAGTTTTTGGGAGACTTATTTTCCCGCCTCAAAAAGTGGTGTGGCTAACTGCGTAGTGCCTGCGGCAAACCCTCACTCCACCACACTCGCGCTCACAGGCTCAGTAAAAATCGTGTTAATTAATTGGAAATTAAAGGGAAAATTTTTCGATCCCCTCTACAATTGTCACCACGTAAAATCGTGCTTTGTTAAAAAGTCAAAATTAGTACATTGGAAGTTTAAGACCACTTTTTCCAATCATGAACCACATCCATGACCGCGGGATCGTAGCAGGCGGATCAGCATTACAGAGCAGTATTTACTCAACGACGGATCTCCATACCTGCTAGCCCGCACAAATTTCCTTCCTCAAGTTACAGAGTGAATAAAAGTTGTTAAAATACCTGAAGACTGCATTCGATGTTATAATGAATTGTAAGGCCTTTAATTTATCAGTGGGAAATAACCAGAGCGGCATTAAGTTTACAGAGGGACGAGCATTTCGGTGTGTAGATGTTCTGCCTTGTTCAAAAAGAGCATTTGGCTACTACATATCATTGATATGTAATAAAGGTAAAGAATTCAACAAACTTTCTGTTTGTTGGCATAAAAAGTGATATTTGCTCAAAATTTCTGTCATTTTTGGATATTTTCCATCTGGAGCACAGCTAAAAACCATTACGAAATGTGTGATGTGCCTCATGTAGCGTTTTTGAAAGGCAACATTTCGAATTTTGAAGAATAAACAGTCAGTGGCATTATGAATCCGGGTGAGTAATCGTCTTGACCTGATGGTGGAGGGGAATAGCGACGACAACGTCCTGTGCCGACTGACACCTTGCAAGGATAATTTGGAGTGTCGTATAACTCACAATGCCAACGGTTCGATGAGTAAGCGGCGGCTAGTTCCTGGAGTGATAGGCAGTTCCAGATCACTCTCCCCAGCCAATACGAAGAGCGCTCGCACTTACGCACGCACGCACTCAAAAGCTGGCATTCGGGCTCGCTCCTCCTAAGCGCTGCCATGTGAACGCACCGCGTCCTCTGCATCGCGGCCGCTAGAAGAAGACGACGAGAAAGAAAAAACAATCAAGACGACAAAGGAGAAAGGCGGACAACAGAGACCAATCTTTACACACATAGAAGGAGGAGGGAGTGAGCAGAGACGGACGAGCAAATGCCGAGAGGCGGGAATGCGGATGAGTGGTGAAGACGCGGTGCCAGTGTCTGTGACGCAGGAGGTGCCGTTTGCGGGGCTGTCAGTGGGACTGCTGCGCTCACTGCGGTGGGTGCGAAGCGTGGGGGCTCTAGTGGGACAGAAACGCCTTCTCCTCGGCGTCAGTTGGAGCGCGGGAACCCTTGCCCTCCTCCTCCTGTTCTGCGCCATTGCCATGGACTCCTGGCTCTTTACCGTTGAACGCGAGCCGGACGAAACATCCAACGCCACCTTCCTCATCACCCTCCACTCAGGCCTTTGGCGTGTCTGCAAGAAAAACCTATTCATGAAGGATGTTGGAAAGAACACACAGTGGAACTTATCATGGCGTGAGTGTCCTCCACTCCTTCCATAATCACATATGCGTTCCTACCCGATCCCTTTGTTATTTTTTCCCTTTTTTACTTTAAGTATTTTTTGTTTTGTGCAGGGCTCGAATTAGGCATCAGATTGTTATTATTTTTCACTTCTTGGTCCTCCTCATGTTGACCTGAAGACAATATTTCGATTGTCTACGCAAGGAAGCTAATTTCATTCAGCATTTTTGCATTTGTCTTTCACAAAAATTGCTAACATAAATGTTAATTTTTTTGCTCAACTCACAGGCCCTGAAAATTTTTAGCAATTTGCTAAAGTCACGCAAATATCAGCTCCTCAAAATGCAGCCTCGAATTCAGCGAAATCAACATGAATAAATTAGGCGAGCACACGAACAACCGTGCAGATAAGAAAAACAGTTCGTGTAAAATCTTTAAAGAAATTTTATGATCTGTTGCAAGGAATTCGTGTACAGCATTTGAAATTTTGGATTTCTTGATTTTTTTGTGTATAAATAAAATAGAATGATGGTAGTCCTGGGACTGGCCAAGTAATCCCCACCAAAATGCCCCGTTTCTGATAGGAACCATGGCCAGGTATTTTTATGCTATGAGAGCTTGATAATATCATACGATTTGCATCAAAAGTTGCTAAAGAAACCTTTATAATTTTGATGACTATACCCAACACTCTACCTTTCCTATATTTTTTGAATAATCACGTTTTTTAGGTATCATGCACGAATTTCACGTTTCACAAACGTACTTCCCTTTGACACCCTCTTGTAAACGACTTTTCATTACTCAAAACTAAAGACGCTAGAACATGTATAAAATAGGGATTTTGAGGAAAGTGTTTATTAGACTGGAAGCATATTTGCTGACATATTCAACCGGTTGGAACTTTCGGCTGCAGTGGTGCTCTAGATCACGGTTGCTGCCTCATAGACTGTCAAAAACTCTATCACCTTCAAATACGATCCTCTCAATTGCATTCCCCTTCCATTGTTGTCCTGAATGAGATGCAATAGCTAGGCCTGAATTTAATTCTACATTTCCGTTACTTTGGTAAAGCCATTATTAATCTCATAGGGTTATACCAAAGCCTTCCGTCAAAAAGTAATCACCCATCACGCTTGTCCATCTTCGAAAGGTTGATAGAAATCAGGTAGGTTGTAATCGGCGTCACCTATGCGGCATTTTGACATCATTATTCATTTTTAAAAATTAACAAAGTATTTGACAGAGAAGAGTCCTTTATCTACAAAACTATTCTTCATAACTTGACATAACTTTAAATATTTTTGGAGTTGATTGTGCTTCTTCTTAGAGCAGGAAGGAAGGTGAATACATTGGGACATTCTCAATGCAATGTTTGCTCACCGACAGTTGGAAGTGGTTAGTCTTTCATAAATTCCACAAAAAATACTAATCGAGGAGGATAAAATGTAACCTAAGGATTGGTCTAAACGTTTTATTTTGGTAATCATTGAAGACAATGTGCTCTTGGCTTTTCAATTAATCCACTGCAAAGGCCCTGCAAATTCCACCTTAATTACAAGCATAACTTGTCATCCTCCATTCGTGTCACAAAGACGCTAAAGACAGGGCGAATTCAGTGCAATGGGTATTCCTTTGGGCCTTTCATCTAATAATCTTGGAACTAATGAATCACGGATTTCGCCCAGCTTCGTTTTAATAGGCTGATTGTCAGAAGGTATTGCTGAGGCAGGCTCAGTCGCTTGATGGGTCTGATCCACCTCGGATGTGTCATGCTGTTTGGTGCTATGGGTTGAGTAGTCATTTGAGTTACAAACACGCAGATGCAGTCAAAATGTGGATTGCGAGATTTTCTACAGCTAAAGTCCAAAATGCAGTAACTCCCACAGGGCACAAGATTGGTTGTATCGTTTTCCCAGGATCACTTCTGCCACTTGAGACACATACTACAGAGGCGGCCCTATTCACGCATCAGTCATACTACCTACGCAGCGCTGTAGGCGCGGAAAAGTGGGCAAAACAGTTCGAACAGGAGGACGTTCGCTTGCATGCGCACGATAAGCATCAAGTACTTCAAACTGCTGCAAAATAACCTCAAGTTTTACCCCAAAATTCCGGCATAACAATATAAATTCCTAATGAATTCCCACTTATTTGCTGGTCCCTTTTCTACCAAGAAGCAAACACCCGCCGATCAAAACAATGTTTGACATTAGTACAGTGAGATAGCTTGATCAGCATATTCTACTTACAATGTAGTCAGATAAATTTGGCAGTTAAAGTTGTTAAAAGGTGTATAAAGCTAGGTAAAAGAATACTAAAGTGTTAGGCTAATTTACTGGTTGAAATTCGTTTCAACTTTGCTTGGGTGGTCGGCCTATGCAGGAGCCTTCACGCGACCATATTTCATTTCCTTAGGAGTTATTTAACGCTGGCAAAAGTTCCTCCTCACAACATTCCACTCATTAGCTTCGTTCCAAATCACATTCATTCCTGTGTGTCAAGTAAACGGAAGAACTGTTGTTATTGCTTCATTGGAGGTGATAAATTGAGAGCCTGAAGTACTCAATTACTAATAAAACCTGAATTACATGAAGGAATGAATTTTGGTGAAGACCTTATATATGATGTGATGGTATGGTGCTTGTTAAAATTTTAAAATGATGACGGTTTCGGAAATGGCAAAAAGGCCTCACCATCCAATAAGCCGATCACCTTGTCACTACATGGCTGACGAAATGTGTTTACCGATTAAAATTGCACTAGACGTACATGAACCGCTGCCTACTTATCTAGTTGATCTACCTTTTACGGCCTACTTTCTGCTTATTCAAAATCGACTCTATATGAGAGCGAAACAGCAATAGTGAGCCCTGACGATCATTTCCTAGTCAAGGTGGTAAGTACAATCTCATCCTCCCTTTGGCCGTATTTTCGCTGAATTCCAGAAAATTGGGCCAGATATTAGTATGCTGCCTAAATTGTATCCACACTTCAACATTTATCACCATACAGGGCAATTGCATCACTTTGGTTTTTCGTTACTATCCCCGCCTAGCCGATCACCCCTCTCGGGTGGGGAGTACCGGAGTTTACAGCCCCTGCGTTTATTCGCTCCCCGCCCCCACCACTCCTGAAGTCTCCGTCCTCGATGGTTTTAAACCTATTTCTCCAAATGGCACATAATATGACCAGAAGGTGCGTTGAAGGGGGCATGAGCTCACGAGCTGTGGCCGAATCAGTGATTTAGGTCATATAGAAAAGTAAATTGGTACTTCACATGAAAGGACTGTGCTTAAAAGTGGTATTTTAGACACCTTGATTCTTTCTACACATGCAAATGCATATGAGGGTGCTTAGCAGCAATTCGATGTTTATTAAAATAAGAAATAGGTGTTAGTCTAAATGGTGAAAAATTCCATTCATTTTCGTGCTCCTTCGGCTCGCCTCCGATCTTCAAAATTGTGGAGGCATTGCACGAAAGTTGGATTGAAGCTTGCTCCGCTTCATGTTCCGTATTATCAACAAAATGCTTTAGTTTGAAGCTTACATCCACATTAGCTACGCGCACCTACACTTCTGCGCCCTATTCGGAAAAATAAACGGACATTTTAATCGGTGCGTAAGATCTTTTGAGTTAGATGGCATTTCTTGCGTGCGTCACGGATGCTAGGCTTTATGTATGAAGTGGCAAATTGAATGCGAATCGCCGTGTCCTCTGCTTCAGCACTTGGCACTGCTTTCTTTCCAAGCCCTGATGTTGATATTCGCCTTCATATACGCTTTGGTTCAATGGCTTCTTGCGTAACAGTCACTGGAGAGACACTTTGTGGTTGTGACGTAACTTCGGTTCACTTTACTGCTTGACTTGGGGAGGCTAGGAATTTGAAATCTTCCTGACTTGCAATTCCTTTTTATTTGTGTGATTCTCTTTACTCAAAACTTTGCACATGCTCCTGCTATTCATAAAGGGGAAAAATAGGTTAGAATGGGTTAATCACAACGTAGGATACCAAAACTTCCGTAGACCACAGATAGTTACTGCCAGTCTTGGTTTTGGACGTGTGGCTATTAATTTCAAAGCTCGGTCTGTTGGAGGTGGATACCATATTGCACATGGGGTGATAAAATTTCCACTGTGATTTTATTTTGCGCGTGTTGTGTTTTTCCCCAGTGTGGTGATTTTAGACGTGTAATTTATGCTCTCACGACTCTTCCCCGAGTGGTAGATAACTGCGTGGTTTTTAGTGAACCGCATTCAGATTTTTTTGTATTAAACTGAACTTTTCATGCCTTTCGGAGTCGCTATGCCATTGATTAAGTTGGAACAGGCATGAGAACTGGTTTTACACCCTAAATAAACGCGAAATTCCATCTGCAGAGGAGAGTCTGATTCTTGACCCGACTGTGCATTGGTTTCCTTGCCTTTTACCCTCCTACTTCACGTTGTGTCGCCCGAATGAGACGCCCACATTCACGCCTCAATCGGGTGTTTTTTTATTGCAGTGGTCCATGATTACCACTTCGAAAATTGCTCATCCATACCTTACTTTCAACAGCGAGGCAAGGAAGCCGGCGAACTCAAGCCCACAGAGAGCATCCTCTGTAAGTAAAATGGCCTTTTCATTCCTATGCTTTGAATCATTCAACTAGCTGTCGTTCATGCGTATGTGAATTTAATCGCAATTTGATGATATACTTATTATAGGGCTAAAATATTATTTCATTAATTGTGCCGCATTCCTCCTATCAGTAGGAGTAATCGCGTACCCCTCTAAGTGTCATGCTATGCTACACGTCACGATAGTCCCTGAGATCAAAAAACCACCAGCGATTCTTCTGCGTAATTAATTTAAAGCATTAAAAAATTAAACTGTACTTTTCTCCCATTGTTCGAAAGTGTTTGTGCTTAAGAGAACATTGAAAAGTGCTGTGCGTTTTCCTCTGGATCTTGCGCTCACCCAAAACATCAAAAAAGCAGAGAAAATAAATTAGATGTCAATGGACCTAGCAAACGCCGTTACACTTCGCTAAAATCTGAGAGAAGACACACTGATAGGGCAGAATATGTATTGTCGACGTAGAGCAGGGCTGGGGGCTACTGGCATGACCCAGAGACCAGAACTCCCGGCGGAGGTAGAATGGCTGAGCCCCCAAATGGCCCGCTACCTAAACCGAGAGTAAAAAAACAATTAGCTTATTAGACTACACCGAAATCAGTCCACAGTAGGGGTGTCGTTAAGAAACCCCAAGATTTATTTCATTTGAAGGCTCTTCCATTATGATCTACCGTAAAAAGTATCGCTCCCTTTTTGCATTTCGTATGCTAAAGTAATGAGAGGAATTTGTCATCCCCGCCAGCCGCGGCCTATTCTGGGGATAATTTTCAACATTCTAGCCCGCAAGTCCTGATCGGTTTTCACATTGTAAAGTTGCTTCTCCTCAGCCTCACATCTCTTGTATATCTCTGCAAGCGCATTTGATCCAACTTAAAACTTCCCCCTGTTGCAATAACCTCCTGGAGAAGTTTCGAAGACTTTTTTAGCTTTATGCGTTAAAAAGTGTACTTCGCTAAAGATAAGTCTCCGAAAAGGAAACACCAAACAAAGATGCTGAAAATCGCGAGGAATATCAAAATTGCGGCATTAAACTTTAAACATTGCCTCGGGGTTGAGGATGAAAGCAGAACTACACGTCCTGGTAAAATGGGAAGTAGGTAGAGGGAAGGAAATTACGTTGATGTGAAAATAAAGCATCATTCAATCTACATCATAGTCCTGATTTTATACGTTTTACTCATTCTCCGACGTGTTTAACTATGGAAAACTGGAGGCCACTGTTCTCGTATAACAAACTAGGGAACTACGAATGTGGCTCTACAGCACCCTAAATCCGAGAAGCAAGACATGCCACAAAAGCAAGCCGACCTTGGGACCTAAAATTCGGAATCGCCTAATCAAATTTAGCTCAAACAACTAAAAATGGAGAGGCTTGAGCTATTTTTTCTCTAGCTAGGCGTTCGTGTTCTCCGTGATGGTGGTGGTAGCGGTGGTCTTCGGCACTTGAAAATATTTCGAGGTTTTTTCTCGGAACAAAACAAGGCCGTTTTTTATTCCAGCTCTGATCGGACACGATTATCAACACATACATCTCTTGCTAGCTAGATGAATCCCTCCCATGCACGTACCCACCCCTCACGACGACGGCATCCAAAAATCCGCCCACATTCTGACATCAACCAAACGCAATTAAGTGGTTTATTTAGTTAAATCCACCTTGTTTGTTAATGAAAATATTCACTTATCTCAACCGATGCTTAACCCTATTTACTTACCAGACGGATATGCCACTTCAATCAAAACCTTGAATTGAACAAACCGTGCATAATTTTTCCATTTTAGGTGCCTGTATTTTAAATAAACTTCTTGTTACTTGAAAACTAACAACTGTGTAAAGTAATAGAGTAATTTAGTTGTATAAAGTGGACTTGTGTAGGTTGAACACACCCTAAGTGGAAACTTGTCGCAGACAAGAAAGTTGTCCACTTGGACTGCATTCAAACTTCGACCAGATCCAAGTACGTGCGTGGATTGCTCTAAATGTAGATGCAAATTCCAATCTTCTTCAAAGTAGGATTGATAAGTGACAAACAAAGCCTTCGGTTTCTCTTAATAGCGTGCGTTTTTGGTGCGCTGAATTTAGTAAATAATTGCCAAAGTCTACTTAAACACCTCGTCCTCTAAATCCTTGAAGACGGCCTCTTTTAGCTAGGCATTGCTGTCGATAAAATTCTATGGGCTACATTATTTGTGGTTCAATTAACCGAGGGCAGGTGCATTGTTCTCTTGAACCGAATTTATTTCGCCCCAAAATAGGCGGCTGCTCTGTTGTCGCCAAAATTGATAAGTCACGAAACCTTCGATCTGGTCACGTCAAAAATTCTTCCGTCTGCTATTTTCACCCGCCCCCTGTGAGCTGAACACTAATTTTAGTGTTTTCCCATCTCCTTTGCACACGTCTTGACGTGGGAATGCAATAGAGCCGGTTGTAGGAAAGGTTTTTTGTACACAACACCTTTAATTGATCCAACAGAACCTAGGACTTTCAGAATTTTGGATTAGATTGGGGCTTAGCACGCAAAAATCAGTTTAGTTTGACGTATTGAGCAAATTTCATTCACAAAATTTTGTCCAAAATTTAAGCCTCATGCCTTTGAGTGAGCATCCGAACATTTCCTGGGTTGGGGTAGGAGTTGCATTCTGGGTTAATACTTGGCGATTTAAGGTTTTCTCCAGTGTATTCTAGCTAGGTGAAGGTCTACCTTTTAATGGCGGTCTTTATAAGGATTTGTCTCCGGCCTTTCTGAACACACTACCAAAATTTTGCCTCTCATGCACAATTGAGCGCTGCCGAGTTTGATGTGAAAATTCGGTTTGGCTGTTTCAACGCAGACTGTGGACACTACTTGAGAAGGGGACTTTCGATGGCTAAAATTTCCCTCAGAAGGTTGAGCCTGATATAAATGCGCAGCTGACACAAAAGCCTCAGTCAGGAAAGTTAACTGACGAGTCGTTAAGCCCATCTCCGATGCTGTGAGTAGTGAATTGGGGAGAGAGAAAGTGACTCCGGTGTCACGAAACCTTCCTGCACCAAAGTGGAGGAGCAATTTCCACTTTTAGTGAAAAATCGCACCCACTCTAATTAAGTAATGAAATGAATTTAAGGAATTATCTTCTATGCTGCAAATATTCCTTCCCGATAAAATGCCTCTACCGGGAATTGCTTCTTACGAAAAGGCAAGCATAACCTTTATCAGGACTCTAGTCAGGCTTATAATATCATGTTAAATTTTGCCTCAAAAACATCAAATCACTTACTCCTTGATCAATGTGGTTCATTGAGGGCAATGCTTCACAGCTCACTTATTTTATTCAAAGTATCCTTGCCCGGTTACTATAGGGAAGAATGCCTTCGTTCATCATTAACAAAATCGAAACCCATGCAATTATTTTCACGCAATTTTGGAAAAAACATGAATCTATTCCCTGTTTTTTTGATATGCTACACCTAGCTTCCTTAATTTATGTTAGGTAAATGATTCGGAGTTCCCGTTGCCTACACATCACTCTTAGGCATATCAGCAAACATTTTGCCTCCAGTGTTATCCAGCCATACCAAGGAGTCGTTGGATTCTATGGGCATCTCTCCGCACCACAATTTATAAAGCTGTCTGCTTGCGAGGAAAAATTTTTAGTGCCCTAAAGAAGCACTTGGGTGAAGGATTTTGCGAGCGCTGAGAAATGTCGCCACATCAAACGAGCGCGGGTCCACCCAGTGACTTCACGAGCCCTGCACAACCACAGGTCTAAGGAGACAAGATCAAAGGCAAAAGCTTGAGCAGAGCAGCAGAGGCGTGGAGGAATTTATCACAAAAAATGCAACAACATGAGCCTCACTTAAATCAACCGTGGTTATAAAACTCACTTTTCGACTTTAAGTTCTCCTTCTTATTGAAATTCGCTTAATATGTCACACATGGATGTATACTTCTTGGTGATTCCCGCTTTTCAGTGTCAAATGCTTTGGCATTCCTCGAATTAATACAGTCGAGGTTGAAACTATACTTCACTTAATTTGTTTAGTCAATGCATTATGTAGCCATGAATTGCAAGCTCAATTAGCTAGAACGCTGTTATGGTAAACAAGTTTAAGTTTCAGGAATACATCTGTGAATAAGAGAGACGATATTCAGTATTTAAATAGGTTAAAGAACAAATTTGAGTTCGGAGTTTTCTGATAGGTGTCAAATGAATTGCAATACCTTACTTGCTTGTTTAACTCTCGGTTTTAATAACGGGTCACTTAGGGCTCCGCCATTTCACCTCCACCGGCCATCTTGGCCTCCGGGTTACGCTAGTCTACCCCTAGCCCTTCCATAGGTCGACAGTATATATTCTGGCCAAGTATTGTCTTTTTCCGGCTTCAGTGATACCTCGGGGCCCTACAGAATCAATAGTTATTCATTTTAGATTGCCCCAAATATAAGTAGCACCATCAATTAGTAAAATTTTTATTAATTTCATATTTACTGTTTTTAAGCTAAAAAAGGATGATAAAGACTTAAATGTTATTTTTTCTAAAATCATTGTAAGGTACATGTGGACTGAGTACCTGGAGTGCTCCAAACATATGCATACATATTGGATAGGGGAACTTTGAACACTTTTTTCGAACCTCTTGTGACTATAATACTTGGATTATTTGTTTAACTTCTCGTTTCAATTTTGTTGCTGCTTAAGGCTCCTTCTCTTACTTTCGCTGGGCGACATGGACTCCGGGCTATGTCAGCAGCCCCCAGCCCTCCTGCATATCAGCAATACATTTTGTGCCCCGGTATTATGTCGTCTTTTGTCCATGTTCCATGTTCGAGAGCCCACGACGCCACTTAAACGACATAGACAAGTCTCTCCACCACTTGTTATTCCAACCTTTATTTTTACGTTAATTTTTGGAGAAAAGCTAAACTTTAATTAAAGCACTTTATTTTGAGATCACGAACTCAAGGTCCCAACTAAACACCAGTCAGGGGGATTGACCAGTGAAGACCACAAGGAGATGACGCATTCATTCAAAGGCTCTGTGTATTTTTCCAAAAAATTACTGTTCTTTTCTCTTTTAAATTTGACGCTGTGGTCGAGAGGAGATAAAATTCAGAATATGAGGAACACTAAGTCCTTCAGCCCACATAATTTAAGCCTGCTCATGAACTAGCAACATTTCAAGGAAAGGCTATCCGGACTGATTCATTTTAAGTTCACTCAAAGAAGCAGACGATAATACAATTTGCTCTATCATTGGTAAAACCTATCAACTTGACGAAGTAGTCTGCCTGACTGGGGTAAACGAAATGACTTTGACACTGCTAGACCTTGTTGTTAGGTTTCACGCTTCGAAATTCTTCTGTGTCGAAATGTTGACAGCTACTACAATTCCCTATGTTGTATGAAAGCCTTCTTGCCAACTTCCAGACGCAGATGCAACAGGAGTTCCTAACTACTTTCGTAAATATGCCATCTCAGGCCACGTGTTTCCTCTATTTGTTTTCTATTTGCCTCCAATTGCTTCTTCATTAATCGGTCATCATTTTTATTTGAATGACGCTACAACGTGTCAAGTAGCAGTTAAAGACACATGAAACGTTTTAAAAGTGGTGGACAAATTCAGGCATCTCGATTACCAGTGCAGAGGGATTAATTGCATCTGTGTATGTGGTGACAGATTCAATGCGACCTGCCGCCTTCTTTCCCCCCGCGGGGCTACTGCTGCTCTGCCTTGGTGGTGGCTGTGGGGTGGCGGCATGCTGGGGCCGACGGCGCAGCCGACGCCTCCTCTTTCTCGGTGGCGGTGCTTGCATCGTTAGTGGTGAGCCCTCTTCTCTTCTCTCCTGCCCTTACTTCCCATCCCTACTACCTCACCACTGCAATTCCGTGAGCACGCAAACTCAGTCGGTGTTGGGTGTCACAATGCATTTTCTCCTACTCCTTCCAGTCTACATGTAATCTCACAACATCTTATGATTCCGGAGGTGGCTAAAGAAGGTGTAACGCTCAAGTGATGGCAGGACTACGGCTGTAGCACCTTATTGGTGCGATGAAAAACATAAGTTGTGCTCGGCGGGAATTAAAATCTTATGCCTACTTTGCTCTCTTCGCATATTAAAAAATGGGCTCATTTGCCCTGAAGAAATAATTACGGGCTTCAACCGTACCATTGTCTACCAGTTTGAGTCTCCATCACTTAGAGTTTATGTATCTTTAATTTTCTGCTCAGTTAGCATTGAGAACATTGGGAATCTTAAAGCATTCATCAAATGCAATAAAGATGGGATATGTATCCCAACAATCACCACAATCCTCCGTCTAGGAGATCACACGTTGTTCATCATGAGAGAAACCCATCCTACAAATTCATATCCAATTTAAACTTAAAATGTAGAAGATTTATCAGCACCCCTATGGTACTATTTTGCAATCTTCATAAGTTTTTAAAAATTTGGGTTATGGGTATTTTGACAGGCATGGGAACTGCTTTTGATGACATTTGTCCATGTTAAAAGTCCTTTGATTATTATGATATTTGTAAATGTGACAATGAACAGAGCAATGATGCCGCTACACTGCTGAAATGTCGTGGGTCAACTCTTCTTGCTTTAGATAGGGGCGGATTTATTGCGCAAATGTGAAAAGATGTTGTGTCTAACTTAAACATCTTTATGAGTCTATTTCCCAATTTTTAATTTTGCTTTTAACTACGGTAAAGACTTTTGAAAGATCTACTTATGGAAGTTGCCTTATTAATAACAAAACGATGTTGTTATGCACGAAGCCTCACGCCACCTACGTAAAGGCAGGCTTGCAAGGAATAGAAGGTACATTTTTCCACTAGTTCAGTCTGAAGCGAGTTTTATTTTCTCCGTTAGGTATATTAACCCTGATAGGTATAGTACTCTACGTGGGCAGTGTAAGTTTAGCATTCGACTCGATCTCGGGTCCACTGCGAGTGGAGACGCGCTACGTTTACTCGTTTGGCGCAGCTTTTCGTCTCTGCATCGGGGCCTTTGTGCTTAGCGAGTTCGCCGGCGTCTTCGTCATCCACCTTTTCCTCGCCGAACTGCGACACAGACAAAACCAACGCAACAAAGCCCGCGCTTTCAGCTACAACATGATGAACAGCGTTTCAACCGACCTCCTCTCGCCCTCGCACATCCCCACCGCTACAACGTCAGTTGCTCAAATATCTCTCACCGAAAATTGCCTTGACAAAGTCAAACCCGAAGATACACCCTTTCTCTCCACATATCGACGACCTCCAGTGCCCAAAAGCAACCACTTTGCCATCGCCAACCACATCACCAACTCAATGCGCGTGAAGGTCATCCCCTATACCAAGACTTCAAATACCAAAATTCAAGTGCCCGAGGTATTTGCGCACAGTCTTGAGTCGCCTGAGCAGACAGAGATTGGCAGCAACAGCAACCATGATGAGTCCGTGCGCTGGGCTGCGGTGAAACGCCGTAGAATGGTAGATTTGACGGCGGAGTCGATGAACAGCATTCTCTCCGTCGGACGACTGAGACGAGGCAATGCTAGAAGTGCCAGCAACATTCGTACCAAGGAGGAGATCCCGGATTTTATTTCCTGTCACAAGTCCACACGAAGTTCGAAACAGCTGCTTTACTACTCCTGTCGCCAATGTGAACAAATGGTGAAACAGCAGCAGCAGCAACAGCAACAACAACAACAGCGACACCAGCAGCATCAAGAGGACACTCCAACCCCAAACAGTAGGCGATCACCCAACTTTCACCGGATGCCCACCTCAGAGAGCACTTCCTCTACCTCTAGTGATTCCATTACGCCTTCGGTTTCCGTCAGCTATTCCTCATACTCCGAGAGTGAGGAGAAGCTCTCTGATAAACTCTACTGTGACCTATCGCCTCGACGGCTGTCACGCTCACAGTGTCTACGTCAGCCTGGCACTGAAGCCCACAAGAGGCGATTTGCCTGTAGCGGCAGCAGCAAAAACCATCTCCCCGCCAATCTGCAGCGAGTAGAGGATTCTACCGCCTCAGAGTCGGAGCGACGCAGTGCTGAACCCTTATCCACTGCGATCTGTCGCTGTCCGGACAGCTGCTCGGGCGCCGAGACACTAGCCTCGCTGTCAGAGGCTCTAGCCTACAGCCCCACAAGCACACTTGACACTCCTATGCAGCGGCCAAAGAAGCGAGCCAAGCCCTACCAACAAGTCACCTCCATCTAGAGGTCCTCTTCCTGTCCTCAAGCTGACGAGTGAAGAACTACTCACTCACCCTCCTTACGCAAATTTATGTGCATGCATCTGTGGAGAGTGGTGACCACTTGACATCAGGTACCGCCTTATGTACCCCTTAGATTATCATCTCGGTTGTAATGATAAAAAGTTTACTCTTGACTTTTCTGGTTATGGAAAGATGTGTTTGCTGTTACTTGTGCTCCTGCCTTACATGGCTGTCCTAAACGTGATGGTAGGAGGCTGTGAGTTGCCGCTGATTGGAGTTATCTAGTGAACAGTTACGTAGGAGATGTAATTAACCACACAGTTCGCAGCAGTGGGGACTTATTTTCTCCAATAATACCAAGTGTGGCGTTTTGCTAAGAACTTAACACCTGACACTAAAACAGAATGAGTTAAAACAATTAAGAGTGAGGAAAACGTTGTGCCGGAAAGTTAATCTCCTTTTGTGAGTTTATAAGCTTGTGATTAGCAGCGGCTGGATTTTAAAGTCAAATGCAGTAGATATTTGAGAACGGTAACGAAGCTATTAACGTATCAACTGCAGTGTTATGAAAAATCAGTAAACAATGAATTCAGACAATGGTTCGGGAAAGTGGTAGCACCTGTTTTGATTTGTATACATATTAGGGAAACATTCGCCACTGCAACTATTCCACCATGGCTTCTGGCGTGCCCATTTCTGGTTCCTTTCCTCAAACCATTTTGCAACTATAAAAGGAGAATCTAGCTGCATTTTAAATTAGAAGCCAATGCAATGTGGGATCCCTAAGAAAAAATAATTTTTGAGAAACGTGAGTGACCGGTGCACTAATTTTGTACCTGACAAAAAAGAATTTACCACTATCATTTTTACAGGGCTGATACCTCGTCTTTCGCATTTGTCACACTTGATGTAATAAAAGACCATTTAGTGGTGTTTTGCAATGTGTTTTTATGATGAAGAGGCGGGAATTACTTTCACCCGTTGATAGCACTGAGCGTTGAATTTACCGCCCCAATGAAGCAAAAAACGGTGAATTTTTTCGCCTTTTCCAAACATTCAGTTTGGGTGTATATTTTTCATTCCTTGTACTTTTAGAGCTCCTGGGCTTGTTTTTTTCAGCTTTGGCCCAACTTCCCGATTCAACGCTAAATACGTGCCTATTGTGAAGACGACGACGATGATTCGCGTCTATCTGAGAGGTGTATCTTGGAGGTTCGGCTTTTTAGCCTTCGGGTTGCAGTAAAGAGGGGAAGAAATTTAATGTTGATTTCTTTTGCGTTACACTTAAATTCCTACAGGCTGATAGCAAGTCTGACTTATTTGCATAGCTAATCTCCTTGCTGAGAGGGAGACTGCCGTCGTCCTCCCGAATACGAAATAGGCTACGCCACAAAAAGGCGATAGCTTAACGCAGAAATGAAGGCAAGAACATCTTAAATGTATGTTACGTCATCGCTGGCCTTTTATTTTTCTTTAGGTCACGACAATAATCAAACGAGAAAATCTAACAACCGACTACTTAGCCTTGTGTTGATTGTATCCGTTTTATATACCTCACGAGGTGAATAGAAAAGCCGTTTTCAGAGGCAATTAATTTGACTTTATGTAACAGGAAAACCGTATAATTAATGGAATTTAATGGGAATTAATCTATTTTATTACCAGTGGTTTTGCTTCATCGCTTCATTTGCAATCGCTATTGAATTTCTTCTCATGAATGAGGTCATTGGGGCGATACAGGACATGCTCGGAGCATCAATTTTTTAGAATGAATTGTAAGATCTTTCGGTTACAAGTTTAATAAAACAGCAACA